TATTTTATGAAATTTTAAAATTATTAATATTTTCATTAATATGAAAACAAAACAGATATTGGAAAAATGGGTTTATTTATGTTAATTGTTTTTAACCAGTAATTTACCACAAGACAATTTCTTTAAAGATTGTATAAAATTTAAGATTGCATATAAAATATGGTAATTAAAACAGTGGTTATTTTTGTTGAAAACTTAAAAAAACAAACATAACAAGTTATGAGGTAAGATTACCTATTCATGTGATTAAAAGATAAAATAAATCACATAATCACATAACATTTAATCATTGAATTTTCGTTCTAATAAAATATGATCCAATTTTGTTTTTTTAAGGAGTAACATGAGTGCGGTGAAATAGATAAAAGCGTTTGAAATAAATATTGTAATAAAGATATTTAGACTCCGAAATTGAAAAGTAACGATTTTTGGCACGATTCTCATTAAATTGCTTTTTCCTTATTACCAATTGATGTTACAATGAGGATATCAGTCATATTATTTTGGATAGCATAAAAATCCGACTTGAACAAATTGGGAAAACAGTTGGTAGTATATTTTTAATTTTTCCAATAATGTTATTTTATTTAGGATTTTATAAAAAGTGAGACAAAGAACCAAAAGATTATTTGGTTTTCATATATTTAGGCAGGAAAAAATTTATTAAGTGATTGAGGAGTCAGAGTTAACTTTGTTCGGAAAATAAAAAGAAACATTAATCCGTATAGAAATGACCTCAAGACATTCTATTACCAAGTATTGGTAAATGATTTAGAACAATCAGCGCCATTTGTTATTTATTTATTTATTTATTAATTTATTTGTTTGTTTGTAGAGAAAAAACTGGGTTTTTTAAAGCTGAGCCCAGAACAATTGTAATAGGTAATACGAGATAGTCGCAAAAAAGTATCACCTTCTCAATTGCGATATTTGAGAAATAATATTTTTATGTAAATTATAACATGTACCACTTTATATTTATGTAGTTTGGATAACCAAAAAAAGTGTGGATATACTGATTATTCGTACCACTTTATCAACCAATTTAATAAATCCAGACTGACACAGCCTTCCATAGAAACCCATAACACAAAACTTCTTTGAAAATGAATAGCAAACCAAGCCGAAACCGGAAATCATTTATGTTTGAATCGATATGAAAGGATTCATTCAATGCAAAGACAAAATGTTCATAAAGGTAACATGATTAATAATCAATCTAAAAGATTCAAATTATTAACAACAAAAGCAACTCTAATTTTTGAAATGTGATAGGGAGTTTGCTAAGAGAAAGGACTTTCATCAAATTTTTATTTGTAAATCAGTTGTTTGAAAAAATTCTTTGCCACTGATTTTTTAAAATCTCAACAACAATCTAATATTTAATTAAGCATATTTGTTATTGATTTTAATTATACTTTATCAATATATTTATAATAAAATTATTATTATTAAATCGCTTCCTTTAAATAATCCCTTCTTAAATTTCTATGTTGATCAGTTTCCATTTTACAAATAAGTACTATCCACCAGAAAAGCTCAGGTCTATTATTATTTTATGTTCTTAGCCCATTTAGGGCTAAAATGATTTCTAACTCAGACAAGCAAACCTCATTAACAATTCCTAAATATTTGATAGTTATTGTACAAAATAAAGTTAGCTAGTACCCTCAATGAGTATCATCAAAAATTTTCAAATTCTTTTATTGTTTATCTTCATTATTGGCAACAAATTAGGATTTTGTTCGGAATGATGAAATCACATTCCTAAAATTTAACTTCGTTCATGCGATTATATTGCTGGTGTCTAATCGGCCCTTAATTATGAAATGGCTTTTTCTTTATCTGAATAATCTGCTAATCGTGAATATTGGTCATCATCAGCAACAACAATGATGTTTTCATAATCATCATCATCATCATCAGTGATGTGACTCAACAATGATGGTTGATGGTCAGTTTTTACAACTGAGCTCGTTGAATAAATATGCACTGCAAGACAACACATCAAAGCTCCGGCGAAAAACCAGTTTGTTGGTCGATAATTAAGAAAGAAATAACTGACTAAAGTCGAAAAGAACATTGCCATCGAGCCAGCGTAAACTTTCGTTATACTTCCAGCATATTTGATAATCGCAGATGTAACTAAACCCATCGAACAAAGTACCATTATTATAAAAAAATGTATGAGACGCAGTGAACTAAAGAAACCAGAATCTGATGAAAAAGATTGTGAGAAATAAACAGATCCATTAAAGAAAACCCCAAAAAGGTAAAGTTTGATATTTTGAAGATGAATTGATTCGTTTCCAAATTTATCTTTCATTACGAATTCAGTGAAGACTGATGCACCAGCTGATATCGAAGAGAAGACAACGGTCAGCAGAAAACCCAATGTCGATGTGGTTAGATTGAGCGAGCCGTTGGTGTCAAAATTAATTTGGGCGACGGTTGTACCAAAGAATAGTAATCCTAATGATACCCATTGAAGTGAACTCAATTGTCGTTTTAAAAATATATATGAAAAGAATCCAGTCGTAAGAATCTTGAGGTTACTTAGAACCGTGAAGGTTGGTGGATCCATCATGCTCAATATTATGAATGTTAAATTATTGTTCACAAAATATGCTAATGCTGGAATTCCAAATAGTAATGTTGTGGATGATGTGAATACAGTCGAAAGATCACGTAATAATGGTTTCAAAAGTTGCCATATCAAAGAAATAAGCCCAGTTGTTTGGTGTTCTTTGCCGATTTTAGAATATCTTGTTAAGGTTTTATTGGTAGAAAAACAACCAAGTTCAATCGCTAGGAATATAATTGAAACTAGATAATAAAAAAATCATTTTTAAAGTTAATATTTACTGAGCTCAAGTTATTGATCAGATGACTATCTAAGGCTCGTATCCCTGAAGTTTAAAAAAAACTTATTGAGGAAGCTCAAAAAAGCACATCTCTTTCTTTCTTTCTTTCTTTTCCCTTGTTTTTTCCAAAAAAAAAATACTTACGAAATAGTTTGACGAACTCTGATAGGAATAATAATTTTGTAGAGTTTGGTGGTTCATTTTTAGCTTGTGCCATGCCAACCAGCAGCGACTCGGAAGCGACAAACATGCAAAGAAACAAAGAAAGAATTAGGGTACTCAACCCGAAAAGAGGGTTAGCTTTTGAAATCATGAGGAACTTTTTATACAAAATAAAGTTTTAACGTTTGTTTCTCAAGTTTTTGAGAGTAGGTGTTTTTAAAGCTCTTTTATCTATACAAGTGGGGAAAAATATAAATCTATTAACTTCCAAATTGTAGGTTCATAGAGTGGGCTGGTGAGAAGTATAGCTTTTTGAGAGCGGTGCCTCAAAGCCTAAAACAAGTTCACACAATGAAACTACTTTTCACTTTTTTTTACCAAATAAAATTATGCGGTGATATATAACTTGGCAGGTACAACATTGCCGTTTCACCGGTTTGGCATTCAAGGTCCGACTATTTTCCCTATTTTTTTTAGTCATGGTTATACCAGAGGCACAAAACTGTTGTCTAGTGCCGTCCCGTGCGATCACGAGCTTTCTAAAACAGGAAAGATGTGAATGTTTTCCTTGTCCTTGACTTGTTTAAATGTTTTGGGGTGATTTCAATAAATAGCGATAAAAACCTTAATTAGAAAACGATACGAAATTGAAGTGTAAGTCATATTAGTAAAAATGTTGATTTGTATTATAAATATAAGTATTTTTGTCAATTTTTAAATTGAGTATATTATTACTTATTATTTCGATTAATTATATTTTAGTAATTTTATGATCCAAAAAATATTATTAGATTTTTTAAAATAAAAAACATTAATTAATTAATTTTAATGTAAAATTTCATAATATTAAATTTTTTTTGTTATTTATACAAACAATTTAATATAATAATAATAAAAAATTTTTAAAAAACTAAAAAAAATTTGGGTTTAATTTAATTTAATTTTTTTATTTATTTTCAAATTTAAACAACAATCGAAATCTACATGAATTATTTTTTAAATTTTGTTTATATTGTGAAAAAATGAATATATTATACAAAAACTGCTTTGAAAAAATAAAACATTAAATTTTATCTCATAAAAACAATGTTAATTAGAAAAAAACAAAGTTTTAATACTATTAAAAAATTGAATTATTTATAAATAAGATTTAATTATTTACTATTTTTTTATGCTTTTCAAAAATATAAAGCACACTTAATAAAAGCATATTATTTTTGGTTTATTTATATAATTGCTTTTGAAAAAATACATCAGTTTTTTAAAAAAAAAACACTTTTTTTTAAATATTAGTAAATTAATCTTGAAATAAAAAAAATAAATTTTACTCTTTAAATGTAAGAGCTATTCTATATATTTATTTTTTAATAATTAAAAATATTTAATTAATTTGTTTCTTTTGATTGTCCACCAACTAACTCACCCCTTGGCTTAATTATAAAAAACCCTTTTCCAATTTCAATAATTAAACCTTTAATGAAAGGAACGTTATTAGCACCTCAAAATTAATTATTACTTGGATTCCTCCTCTACAAACTATTGTTCATGATATAACAGATCGTAATATTAAGAGAATTAGATATACCTGTGTTTGTGTTTCATATTTAATACTTATTAACGCTAAGAATTGAATAACGTAAAGTCAAGCGAAAGTTTTATAATGCTATACCGATCTACATTTTACAGATCGTATGGGTTACGGAGTTAGATCTGCGGAGGTAGGATCGGATCGTTATCACCTTTTTTGCCATGACGCAGCACGTCCCATTTAAAAATTTCAATTCAGGAAAATGTCGTTGGGAAATAGCGGTATTGGCAAATAAATGAGTTGTAAAATATGTTATTCAAAATCAGAAATAGTTTTATCAATTTACGTTTTTTTAATTAAGAAGATTCTAGGTTAATTACTTTTTTACAAAGATAGTAATATTATTATATACTAAGGTTTACCATAATCCATTTGTCAAAGACACGCGACCGAGGCAGGGTTCGAACCTGCGACCTTCTGCTCCGGAGGCAGACGATCTATCCACTGATCTACACGGTCATTTTAAATTATCATTATTATATTAATTTTAATCATAAAATTAGTAACTTTTAAACAATGTTGAATTATATTGGTTGTGTTTATATGTTATTTTTTAATTGCAACTGTTTAAATATTTCTGAAAATCTTTTTTTAGGCTATATTTGTTTTTTTAATAATCTAATTTTTAAGCTGTTATTAAAACTTGTAATAATTTTTATTGTATATATTATTTTTTGTATTTATTATTTTAATTAAAACTTGAATATAAAAATTTTATAAATTTTATTATTGATTAAACATTATATTATTTTTTGTTATATTGAAAAATATAATTTAATTACTAATTATTTTTATAAAATATAATTATGTATTAAATATAAATAAAACTTTATTTTTTGTATTTTTTGGAATTATAATTAAAATAAATAAAAAAAAAAAATAAGTTTTAATTTTTTTATAGTTTTTTAATATTATTAATTTAAAACTTTTTTATAATAAAAATAACAAAATAGTATTTTATTAAATCACTTTTTTAAATAATAAAAACATAAAACAGTTTTTAATTATTAATAAATTACTTTTATTGATTTTAAATAAAAGTTTTTTTATTTAAAATTTTTTTATATAATACATTAAAAACAATTCTAATATAATTTTTATAATTATAAAAAGCTTTTAAAATTTTTAATTATAAACTAATAATTAAAAAAAAACTTTTTTTTACTATTATTAATAACCAAAAAAACGAAAAAAATAAGACAATATTTTTTTTAAAAGTATTGTTTCTAATTTTACAAGATATTTAAAATACTCTTTTTATATTGTCTAATATAATAAATTTCAATTAATTTTTACTGGTTTTAAAAACAAAACAAAATATATTTTAATATATAATTTTAACTAATAATAATATTAAATTATATAATCATAAAAATTGAACCAATAAAATAAAAACTAAAACATTTTTGTTTTTAATTTTTAAAAATATTATTAATTTAATAGTATTTAAAAAATTATTATTAATTATTAAGATTTTTTTTAAATAGATAGTTTTTATTAATTTTTAATATTATCATTAAAATTAAATTGATTTATATTATAATTGTGTTTTAATTTATACAAAGCTTGAAGTTGTCGAAGAGATAGCTTTCCTTACCCTTTTTTCCCTTTGTCTTTTTTGTTATTTCTTTAAATGTACCTCTATTTGTGCCTATGGATCTAGTGGGCTCTTTTGCTGGTGCTTCGGGTTTGAGTTCAGCTGGATTGGGATCCCGATCTGACAGCAAAAAGATTAAAGCGCATGTTGAGAGTGTATACTTACATGGTCCTTCATACAAGAAAACAAAGTTACCTGGTGTCTCTAGTGGTATTGTGGACTCATAGGCCAGCTTGTTTTCAGTGGGTATGCTGCATAGTGATGGTATTGGACTGCAGAAATCTTGAGGTAGCGAGGTGGATAGTAAAGAGGCAGGTGTTAGTAAAGTGTCAGATATTGAGAATTTGGAAAACATGGTTGCTGAAAAGATGAGTTATGTGGATCCCAATGCTTCTGAGACTGATAAAATAGAAGACAATGCAACTCCTAGGAAAACGCATACAAGAACTTTTATTTTGGAACAGCCGCTTAAGGCGATTTGCTTCACAAGCATGAGTAATGACAATTTTGAGATGGTGCTTCCTGGAGCTAAATTCACTGGATCCAATTGGCTGCTATTTGTGATTTCACGTGTTTTGGTACGTCGTGCCTTTGGACCAGTTAAATCATTCGCCTTAGATGTAGAGTTGTCAAATGTGCTTGGAAAGACTAATAGTAATAAGCTGATTTCAATTAAAAAAATTTTTTATTGTATTAATGGCTTTGAAGGGGCTTCGACTCTCTCAAAACTTCCTGAAATTATAAGATCAATATTCACAAGTGAATCTAGTTTGAATAAGGCCAAATTAATAGTGGTCAATGAAAATATTAGTGTCAACAGTGATTTTAAGAAAGTAAACATTAGTTTGGATTGGGAAGTAATTGTCAAAAAAATTCCTGTCAATTTCCCAAAATTGGCAATTGAGGCAGTGTTTTCTAAGTTTGGTGTGATTAATTCTATCAAGATACAGTTGATTGGTTTGTGGCAAAAAGCTGTCATTGAATTTGAGTCGGCTGAGGTTGCTCGTTTGGTTGCTTCTAAATGATCTGTTCTTGTGGGAAAAGATTCTGTGTGAGTAGCTTTGGTTGTTGGTAACAGACAGACATGAGTATTAAGGGACTATTATCAGACTTTGCTCTACACTCTTCCAATTGGTACGACTGCTCATGATTTAGTGGACTTGTTGGAGTCTTATGATGGAAAAACGTGTTTCATTGGCCATAATCCTAGCTCATATGTGCATGATAGATGCACTATTATTTGTTTTGAAAATGAGGCTTCCAAATTGGCTGCTTTTGGTTCGGTTTCAGTTTTCAAGGGAGTAAGTTTGCACTGGGCTGGTCTTTTTCTGGCTTGCTGCACCGCATGCAAACAGTATAGTCATACTAGTGAAGTGTGTTCAGTAGGTGGGAATTTTGGTAGCTGTGGGAGAAGAGTGGTGACTGATCTGGATTATGTTTATTTGGCCAGCATTTATAAGAAAAAGCAGGCATCTGTTACTTGTCCAGTCTTTTTCGGTGGCAGAACTTGGGCATCAGTGGTTGGTGCTTCTCTGGTGTGTAGTTCTCATGGTACTGGTTTGATTCTTGGTTCCAACAAAGTTGGTAAACCTCTTCCTCCTGTTGCGAATGATTTGAAAAAGCATTTGGTAAATATTGAAAGCAGTCTCATCAGCCTCGCAGGACAAATTGGTGAGTTGGCTAAGAGGTTGGATTCACTTGTGCTGGCAGTTCCCCAGTCTAGCCCTAGATGCCAGCTGCCAGTGACCCCCTCCATCGCAGAATCAAGGGGAGAATATAGTAATGAGAGTGGGTTTGGGTGATGCCACTGGTGACAAAACTGCTGCCGTTCTGGGTTCAACTGTCTCACCTGAGATTGTGAAATTAGAAAACATGTTGGAAGGTCTTTTTGCTTCAGTTATGAGCCTATCAGTGCACTTAGATGGTTTGGCTTTGGCAGGTGGTGCTCCTTCTTTACCTCTTTCTCAATGAGTGATCTAATATGGAAAATTGCTACATGTAATGTTTGTGGGTTAAACAATCCTGCGAAGCAAGATGATGTTATTCATTGGCACAAGGATATGAACAATTTGGTTTCTATTGTTATGGAGTCAAAGCTTAAAAGGAAAGTTTGCCCATGGTTGGCTGACAAATTTGATGGTGTTCGGGTTTTTACTTCTGATCTGGATTCTGGTTCTTTGGGTGCTGAGGTGTTAATTATCATGAATTCTTCTTTAGCAAAACATGTCTGCAAGGTCTCTGAGATGCCTGGTCAGCTCCTATCCATCAAGTTGATTTTCAAAAATAAACTTTCAATATCTATTTTGGGGCTCTATGCTGGTGCCTCATCAGTGGTTTGGTTTTCTCAAGCTGGTGAGATCAACTCTCTCATTGCTAAAGCTGTTAATGAGTCTTCTTTTGTTATTCTTGGTGGTGATTTTAATGAGAATGGTTTACACAAATGTGCCAGTTTCAAAAAATGTTTTGATTTGGGTTTGATTAACTCTCTGGAGGGGAGCTTTTTTGTGAAGTCATTTACTTGATGCAATTCTCATGATATCACTAAGACACTTGACTACATGTTCATTTCTTTCAATTTGGTTGGTGCGGCAGTGGATTGTGGTGTGAATGACATTGAGGACTATTTTGATACTGATCACAAGGCTGTTTATGTTTCTGTGGAACTGGGTGGTCTGCTCGATGTCCAGTTAAACTCACTGTGCAAACAAACAAATAGAGATTGTTGAAAGTATGATATCAAAAATGCCAGTGAGATTAAGTGGTCAGAATTCAGGAATGCTACGGCTGCTAATGCTGTTATGTTCTCGGATGAGTTTGTTGCAGCTAAGTGGTTTTCTGATCTGAATGCAATATGAGACATTGTTCGTAAAATTATGGTTTTTTCAGCTGGTGAAACGTTCAAGAAAAAATGGTTTAAGGGTTTTGATTGTGTTTTTAATAAGGTATCTTCCCAGTTTCATAAACTAGAGCTACTTGTGTCTAAACTGGTGAAGGCTTCTCAGTTGGTTTCTGGCAGGGAGTTTGCCTTGTTGTTGGATACTTAGAACAGGCTTAATTCTGTGAGCACTTTGCTAGTGAAATCTCTGTTTCTTTCTGGTGTTGGTTTTGATGCGATCTGTTCTGGGCTGGCTAAGGTAAGAAAGTCTTACTGCTCTTCTAAGTTGTTAGAATCTAAGCGTGCTGAAGAATCTAGTGTAAGGCAGGCTATTGAGAGGAGAATGGAGAGTTTTAAGATGGATAAGAGTCACATTATTAGAAGTGTTTTGGAGCATTCTTTTCGTAAAGTGGTGTTGGATCATTTGGTGGATGGTGGGGAGTTGGTCTTGGAGTCTAAGTTGGTTAAATCTAAGGTGGATGGAATCATGGAAGGTTGGACTAGGAAACGTGTAATGGCTTCTAATATCTCTGGTGATTGGGCAAGACAATTTCAGCCTTTGGATTATGTCTTCGATGGTGCCTTCTCTGATGTAATGCATTCAATCAGTTTTAATGAGATGTTTGATGTTATTTCAAATTTGCCTAATGGAAAAGCGGCTGGTTTTTCTGGTATCACTAATGAACTTTGAAAACACTGTGACAAGTCAGTCTTGGATATGCTTTTGGTGCTCTTAAATTTTTGTTTGGGTTGTGAGTCAATGTCTGGACCTTGGAGAGAAGCTTGGGTCTTGATGATTTCTAAATCTTATGAGTGGGAGGGGGTTCTTACAAATACCCATCCTATTGCTTTGATTGAGACAGCTCGCAAAGTCCTTTCCAAGATTCTTTCAGATCGGATCTCTCTGGCTTGTAACACTTTTGATGTCCTCCATGGGAACAATTTCTCTGTCCTGAAAGATACATTTACTCAATTGCCTATCTTCGC